GGCCCCTGCTCTCTCCTTAGCTCGGCCCCACTCTGTCTGACTCAGGCCATTCCAGTTCACACGGCGGACGGGACCCCCCTGGCCTCCTGACTCCCTGATTAGCCTGCCCGCCCTGTCAATCAGGCTGATCTGGAGCATTGGCCTCTCCCCATTGTTCCTGGGGACTGTCAGTCTTAGGCTCCTGATTTGCCACCGACCCTTCCCCTTTTAGTGCTGGGAGCTAGCCAACCAAAACACCCCCACTGAGTGTTAGTAAGGGGGCAACAGTCCCCTTACACAGGGATGCAGTGGAGGACAGGATCAAGCAGAGGAGGAGGAGGCCAGGTTAGAATGGCTGCAGTGCTCTGCTTCCAGCATTGTGAATGAGAACGGAACGGAATCTTTCCCAACCTCATTTGTTTCGTCATGTTTTGCTGACATCCAGCACAGGCCAGGAAGCAGGGCTGCTTTGCCTCTGTGCCAATGGCTTTGCTTCATTCGGCTTCTAGCCCAATGGTTCACACAGCCCTTGCCAGCCTGGGAAGAGAGAGACTGGGGTTGGGTTCTGACTCATCTCCCGCAAGGCATCACAATGTAATGAATCTGCTGAGTGGTCATAGTCCAAGGGTGGCAGGTACTGAGGAGTGGGTCAGGCAGGCAGGGCATCTTGGGGACCAGGAAGGACGGTGACCTTTGGAGATAGCTGGGTCATGACATCAGGGATAGTGTCCATCAGCCTGTGATCTGTCCTATGACAGCAGGCCTGCGTGGCACAGCAGGGGAAACATTAGAGGCATCCAGGACCCAAAACACCTCTGCTGGCCAGATGCCATTTTGGGCCTGTGATCATGGAGGTACTGGCACCCATGGAATGGGGGATGGACGGGGTGTCCCTTGGAGAAGGACATGTGGGTGTCTCCAAGGAGGAAGTCACATGGGGACAGGTAGTATCTGGCAGGAGGGTCATGCTCAGCTGGGTGGTGAGTCTCTAGAAGTCTCTGTGATGTCTAGAAGTCTCCAGTATGGGAAGTAAGACCCCAGCAGGGAGCATCAGAGGGGCGCATGGGGTTCCTCAGCATGGGAATGAGGGAAAGGGGAATGTTGTGTCAAATTAGAATCACAGAAATATCAGGCTGGAAGGGAGCTCAAGAAATCATCAAGTCTGTCCCCCGGTGCTGAGGCAGGACCAAGTAAACCTAGACCAGCCCAGACAGGTGTTTGTCCAACCTGTTTTTAAAAACCTCCAGCAATGGGAATTCCACAACCTCCCTTGGAAGTCTGTTCTAGAGCTTAAATACCCTTATAGTCAGAAAGTTTTTCCTAATATCTAACCTAAATCCCCTTTGCTGCAGATTAAGCTCATTACTTCTTGTCCTATCTTCAGTGGACACAGAGAACAATTGATCCCAGTCCTCTTTGTAACAGCCCTTAACATATTTGAAGACTATTATCAGGTCCTCCCTCCGTCTTCTATTCTCAAGACTAAACATGTCCAGTCTTTCAACATTTCCTCATATGTCAGGTTTTCTAAACCTTTTATCATTTTTGTTGCTGTCCTCAAGACTCTCTCCAGTTTGTCCACATCTTTCCTAGAGTGCAGTGCCCAGAACTGGACACAATACTCCAGCTGAGGCCTCACCAGTGTGGGACAATTGCCTCCTGTCTCTTACGTATGACACTCCTGTTCATAGACCCCAGAATGACATTAGCCTTTTTCACAGCTGCATTATATTGTTGACTCATATTCATTTTTGATCCACTATAATCTCCAGATCCTTTTCAGCAGTACTACCACCTAGCCTTGCTGCCTTCCCTCCCAACCCCCGTAACTTAATCTAGACCACATTTCCCTAGTTTGCTTATGAGAACGTCATGTGGGACTGTGTCCAAAGCCTTATTAAAAATCCAGGTATAGTATAGTGTTATATTTGGATTAGATTGCAAGCTCTCTGAGGCTAGGGACCATCTGTTTCTTCTGTCTATATTGCACCTAGCATGTAGGATCCCAGTCCAAGCTAATATTGCAATACAATATTTCTGTCCACCGTGTGCTTTTGTAGTCATCTTTCAGTGATCTCTTTAGAATAGAAAAGACCCACAAATAAGTTGTCTCTAAAAACACTGGTGTTAAAATATGTCACTTCCTTAAATGCATATTTGCTTGTGTAACAAGTCTGCCACCCCCTGGTTTAGAAGTAATGAGTATTATTTATTGTAATTAGAACAGGTAACAGTTGAGTCCCATACTAGAAAGGAAGAATTTAATCCCCTCCCCCATCTCTTTTAAGATGTGTTAATGAGAAACTGCTGGTAAGTCTGGTTTCAGATGTCAACTCTGCAAAACCTCCTAAAAAAACTTATAAATGTATCTAACTTTTTTTAAACAAATGTGATGGGTATTTCCAATATTAATTAAGGTCATGCAAGAGTAAGGTGCTGCCTGTAATCCTGGGTCTTCAGAGGTAGTAGAAGCTAGTCCTAGAGGATGGAGAGCAATTACTCCCTAGCCCTAAAGGGTGGGGTCTAAGAAAAGCATGTTTTCAGAGTGACTGAAGACACCCTCAGCCCTTTGGGATAAAAATCACCATTTTCAATGGGACTTTCTTGCCTCCATTCCCCAGTTCCAAAAGGTCCCAATATTTAGGAAAAGTGGTTTCCTCTAACAGTGGAGTAGATTAAGCACAGATTAGCTGTAACAAGTGCAGAGGCCATGGATGGGTGTGGGAATTTCTTCTCTGAGATTGCCATGTTTTCAAGTGGTCCAGTTGCCCCATTCAAAGCTGGAGATGTAGGGCTACAAGTTCTTGATCCTCTCCCCTGTATCTCAGCAGCTGGGTGTAGCCTGGGAAGAAGGTTAGCAAGTCCAGAGCTAGAGGTCTGTATGGTCCCCATCCCTCCCCCTCAATCCTCAGGAGGGAGAGGGGATGCAGCTGGGGAAACATTCTGAGCCTACATCTCAGCAAGAGGAGATAGTGATGTAAGAAAGCATGGTTCTCCCCTCCTTGGAGCATGCAATTTTGATATCATGGAGTGCACTATACATCACATCTTGATGGTTACAGACTTCCACAACTAACCAGAGACCCTGCTTAGTACATTGCCTTGAACCTGCCTCAGCTATAGTGCTCTGCTGTATAGGAAGTCACTTGAGCCAGACCACCATGGTCCAAAGTGGCACTTTAGGTTGGGTTTCTGCATTGTAGGCGGCTGACCCTAGCTGGAGTGGGGTCCCATCCAAGGCTCTAGTCCCTGAGAAAAAGGAAGAGCTAGCTAAGAGAAGTGACTGAGGAACCAAGGGGGCTAGAAATTCAGGCAGAACTGAATGTATCTATGGGGAAAGCCAAACCAAGAGGCGCACACATATACAAAAGGGAGAAAGTTGGGAATCTGTATTGCTAGAAGGAAGTTGGGGGTTAAACTAGCAAGTAAATTGTGTATTAGCTTGCACGGTGTTGGGATAACAAGAGGTGAGGTCATTTTGGGGCAGCCTGAAGCTGGGAGGTAATAATCAGTTGGTCAGCTCTCAAATTTTGATGTTTGAGGACAGTATTTTCCCCCTACCTACCCACAGAACAAGACCATTTTAAAAGAAAACTGCATGATTGAGGACTGGGGGAGATTGAAGAGTCCGTCTTGATCTCCTATATAGGGTCAGGTTTCAGAGTAGCAGCCGTGTTTGTCTGTATCCGCAAAAAGAACAGGAGTACCTGTGGCACCTTAGAGACTAAAATTTATTAGAGCATAAGCTTTCGTGGGCTACAGCCCACTTCTTCCGATGCATAGAATGGAACATATATTGAGGATATACACACACACACACACACACACACACATATATACACATATATATACACACACATACATATACATACACACACATACAGCATGAAGTTTTTTTTTCTCTTAATTGGCCTCTCAGAGTTGGTAAGACAACTCCCACCTGTTCATGCTCTCTCTGTGTGTGTGTGTATATATCTATCTATCTCTCAATATATGTTCCATTCGATGCATCCGAAGAAGTGGGCTGTAGCCCACGAAAGCTTATGCTCTAATAAATATGTTAGTCTCTAAGGTGCCACAAGTACTCCTGTTCTTTAGCAACTGCCCCTATATAAACTGTTTAGAAATTCACACTTTGCCATGCTATAGTAGGCTACTGAGAGAATTTGAAGGAAACTGCAAGTATTAAGTTTAGTATCTTCTCTTCCCCAACCCCAAGACAACTCCAAAAGAAGGTCAAAGTGGTAGTTTTTAGAACCATGGTTAAGGTCTCATTTTACTGTACGTAGGAAAATTCTATACCTCCATTGCAAGTTACTCTTCCCAGGAGAATTACTGCAACTTTGCATGGTTTTGCTGGTGTGTTAACCTTGTAGAAAGCAATCTTCAGCTAGACAACAATGGAGGCAGTAAAACACTCCACCCCAATGCCATTCAGCTACAGGGAATCTTAAGAGGAAAGTATTCTTTATACAACAGCAAAGTTATACTCCTACAAAATCAGGAAGTGTGACTTACCTGCATTATATTAAACTGGTTTTGCTTTTAGACATCTCCCTACTTGCACCACCATTAGAAAGTGTTAGCTTCCTTTGCATCAAGATATCAGAGCACTTTTGTTCCCCCTTCTCCTTACTTTGTCTTTCAATGTCAGAGAACAATGCATAAAAGGAACCCCCATCTACAAACTGAGTACGAGGTTGATAGCTCCAATACCACATTACCACAAATTCAATATTTAAAGACTTTATTCTCTCTACTTCGGAGTGAGAGAGTACATGTGTCCAGCACAACTGTTCCTACTGAGGCATCAGCCTTCTGTACATCACCAATTTGGCATGCAAGAGTTAGAATTATGATTTAGCCAATATATGATGGTTTTATTAAAAAGTGAGATGACCAGGCTCATTCAGCCTGGAGGGCAGACCACGTGAGAGTCCAGGCATACAATTATGACAACTTTGTAAACCATGGAAGTTTATTAGTTTGCCTTATACAAGGAGCGGTCAGTGACATTACAGTTATCACCTTTAGGGTTAGTTACAAATCTACTTCTGAGTTTACAATGTAACTTTGATGCAATGGCAAGTCAACCACCCTTAGTCTAGTCTCCAGCCCCAGGGAATTTATAGCTGGGGGGTGGGGTGGGGGGAAGTAAAGGGTCACTAGTCAACCACAGGAAAACTAAAGCCTAACAGGTAGCGCTCTCTTCACTAATACAGTTAACTGTAACCTTGGTCACGTGCAACCTGTAACAGAGCTTATGATGCACAGGATATAGTTACTGCACAGTACATTAAAGGTATAGTCAAGTTAAACATAAGGGGAGGGGAGTAAATCAAACAATATTGGTCCAACATGAAAGGCTTTTCAAGGGCAAAGTTTACAAGTAACTACTCAATTTGGTAAATACATTTGCCCTGACAATTATACTGTGTGTAACCCCATCAGCAGAGGCTGAGCACACCTGCTGGGACCCTCTTTAGAAGCATTTACGATGGACAATGGATGGGCCAGACTCATCATATTCCTGCTTGCTGATCCACATCTGCTGGAAGGTGGAGAGAGAAGCCAGGATGGAGCCACCAATCCAGACAGAATATTTACGCTCCGGTGGGGCAATGATCTTGATTTTCATCGTGCTGGGTGCCAGGGCCGTGATCTCCTTCTGCATTCGGTCAGCGATGCCAGGATACATGGTGGTACCGCCAGACAGCACTGTGTTAGCATAGAGGTCCTTTCGGATATCAACGTCACACTTCATGATGGAGTTGAAAGTGGTCTCGTGAATGCCACAGGACTCCATCCCCAGGAAGGAGGGCTGGAAGATGGCCTCTGGGCACCGGAACCTTTCATTCCCAATAGTGATCACCTGGCCATCAGGCAGCTCATAGCTCTTCTCCAGGGA